TCATTTCGGTTCTTCTTTAAAAGGGGAGAGAGAGACAGTAGTCTATTTGCACGCAAATAGACAGTGGATACAGGAAGAGACACTCAACAACTAACTGCTACTGACAGAAGACCAATAGTAGCATATTGTCAATAGATATATTCCAGAACTTGATCAAAATTACTCAAGAAGTCGCGACTATCTATTTTTACTCAGTTTTGACACATGTCAAGTTTTTTTTTGCTTTTTTGATAGAGCAGCAGTAATTTTAAAAGCAAGACAGACCTTCCGTTAAGTGACATGAACCTCCCATAAACCCCTAAAAATTTTTAACAAAAGCAAAACAACCCGCCATTATTCTCTGAATTGACTCATCAAAGCCCAAGGGCATCAAACACACCCGGGTAGACCTTGAAATCTCCTACCCACTTATAATTTGAAAAAGTACCCAATGCATCAGGGGCAGCTACCTCGATTGACTCCGTTGTCACCACCGCACCAGCCAGGGTACTAATATCAATCTCAGTGCCGTCTTGTTGAGCCTTCCACTCTAGATTAGCAGTCAAATAATTAATAATAGTATCTTCATTGAGATCTGGCAGGACACCTTCATCATGTTTTTTGATGAGCGCATCCGTGAGATGCACATTGCTTGAGGCGATAACATCATTGGGTGCCATGCTCTGTGTCCCAAGTGTAGCATGCATACCAACGTATGCGGGATCTTTCGCCCACGCATCAGGTTGGGCAGAGCTCTTTCCGAGAAATACTCCCACACTGTAAGTACCGTTGAGAGCTGTCCACGGTAAATCGATCTTCACGAGGTAGTCGCGTGGAAGTGAGGTTGCGGTGGCTGCTTGTCGTTTCTTGAAGCTGGTTGGGGGACTGCTATAAAGCGCAGCAATGTTTTGTTGGAGGGTAGTGTTGTCGGGATGATTGATTATCTCAGGGTAGGAATAGCCAAGTCTTTCGACATTGCGCACATCGGCGGAGGAGAAGAAATTGCCACTCGTATCTCGATGGAATGGAGTCAAAGCTTTGTTGTATTAGTATGTGAATATTGTGATAAAATTATCTAGGGGACTTACGAGAGTTTTGATCTTGAGTAGAGCCCGCTTGAATGGTAAATGTGCCTGCTCTCTGTTGTGTTGGCTCGACATATGTACTGGGATATACAGCTTGCCAAAGGGCAATCAATCTGTCGATATTTGCATGGTGAAACCAGAAGATTGGATCGAATGCAGCGACTGGAACGACAGACCTATGTGATTTATTTCAGTTAGTATTACCACCGAAAATCGTTGCCCTCCCCCCAGTGCCCTACATAGAAAAGAAAATCGTAAGATGGCTAAAAGAATGAGGTGTTTTAAGGAACAAACTAACATATGACCAGAATAGATGTAGCCTCCGGTCAACGTATGAACAGTATCGTGAATCGATTCTATCGACTAATTAGTAACCAATTCCATACGAAATTCCACCATACATTGAACTTACCAACGTTGCCGAAGCCAGAGCTACCGGATCCTTTGTTGCTGAATCGGTTATATGGCTGTAGTTAAATATCAGTATTGATTAACTAAAGATCAATGGCCTCATGCTATCAAAAATAGATTTTCGGGCTAACTTACTTGCCAATTTGCAAAGAGAGTCATGATTTGTGTTCTGAGATTTGGTAGGTTGGCTTCGAATTGCTCTTCCGCGAGGTTGTTTTGACTTGTGGCGTCGGCCTTGTTTGATGTTGGCCAGCGAAGTGTGTTTTTCCATACGTTGAATGGAACAGAATTCTATTTGAATCAATAAAGTACCATTGTATGAGCGAGCTTTTACTTACTCGAAGATCGCTTGGTACTAAGGGATGAAAGCTGTAGGAGTATAATGGATTGGGCACTGTTGCCGTACTACCATTGGGATATGTGACAAAGGCGGTTGGGTTACTCAAGACACTGGGGAGAATGGGTCCATTGTTTGCAGGATTGGCAGCCCAGTCCCAATATGGCATTCTGAGGGCCAAAGATGCCTGATGATATGCTTCTGAGTTACTACCGGTGAATTGCTGAGCAATTTTGAGACCCCAGGCATGTATTTGCTGCTCGTGCAATGCAAGGTAGGGTCTATGCCAAGGACCAAAAAGATTGGATCCATGAGTACAATATCCACTGGTTCCAGCTCCTACAGCTTGAACTCCGTCCCAGGGCTTCAAGGGATAACCGTGAATACCTAAATATCATTAGCCTGAAGTTGATTCATCACTAGAGTAGTTTTAGCATAGCTTACCTGCAATCTGGTAGAAAGACGACAGTTCACTCTGATCGGTGCCTTGATATGCTATCATAGCTAACAAAAATAAGTTCCATTGAGTAGAATCGGCGGCAAGTGATCGAATCTCAAGACGAGGCCGTAAACCACCATCTTGAACACCTGTGATAGCAAGTGTGGCTGCTCGAGACTCCAAATACTCGGGCTTAGATAGCGGGGAAGCTATGACAGAGCTGAGTAGTAAAGATAAGACCCCGAGCCTTCTGATGAGACTTGGTGCCATCTTGAGCTTCTAATGACGTGTATATTGTGTTACTGGAAGTTGTAGTCTTTAACAATATGCTAGAGTCTAAGGAAGTGGTCTGGTGATGAAGATGAATGCAGAGGAGAGTTGACTAGGAAGATTATCATGAGCTCAAGATACTATTATATATTATTAAAGTACGGATCAACAAGCAAATTATTGTCGGAGCAAAGACACGAAGTATTCGCCAATCATCTCCTGTTGTATACAGAAGATCCTCGCAATGCCTCTCCTGTACCTCAATAAACACATCTCGCCGTAGACTCAGCCTCGTATAGAGGTAAGACCTATGTGTAATAGCCTCTAAAAAGGACGAGGATCAACTAATGCCATCAAAGAGAGCAGAGTTGAACGTAGCATCAAGGCAATGAACGCATGGAATGGCGGCTCCTTGGCCTAGAATCACTTCCATGCGCTGATTTTGACATTTGCGGTATTTTTGAGCAAGCCCTATGTGAATGATATTTTCAACGTGCAGCTTTACAGCTCTCGAGAAGCTATTCTTGTAATGATTGTCTTTCACAATCCTGGCAACCATGTGGCTTCAACGCCGTAGCTTATACGATCACGACACCAAGGTTGCACTAAACGTTCGATTATATTGATTGGCGCATGGTATACATCAGTGGAGTGACTAGCATAACCTTGGCACAGCTGATGTCAGGAACGCTGTCAAAATGTGGTAGACGAGCCGTCTCCTCATTGGTATTTCATCCCATTTCTAGCATCTTTTGAGCTGAATATGTAGAGGCATTCAACTTATGCATACTCGAGCTGCAATTTGAAGGATTCCCCATGATCAAAAACAAGGAATTCTGGAACATATCCGAAATGGGACGTTTCTCAATGTAATAGAATGGCCCATTGAGTGAGAGTACCGAGGTTTAGGGAAAACAAATCCGCCCGTATAAACGTTTTTTTGACAAATCGGATGTCATGCATGCTTCCCATCTCTTGGTTTCTGTAGAAAAAGAAATCCAATCGGGTAAGACTGCGCCCATATATTACCGGAACACAGGCCGAGAAGTCTGGGCATCAGGTATGTGAATCCTACATTAAACCATTCGTATGAATGGAATACGATTTTCTCTTCTCCAGATGACCATATCTCATGTCATAACGCCCCGAGATGTTGAGGCATACCATCATAATGCAACGAAAAGCAAGAAATGGATGTCATAGATTATCTTCCCTATGCTCGTTCTCGGATATTGTAAGACGAGTAAAATGTCATACTCGAAACCAGTTCCTTGGCGTTGATCGGAGAAATTTTGAAATATTACTCCGATGTTGAACAACCAACCTCTTTTTCCTTTATCCAATATTGACACCTCGAGTGAACGATCAATCATCTGGACTTCCAAATGTCTAGATTTCCTCTTTCTTTTCATCAAAATACCCCGACATAAGGGTTGATTTACATACAGTTCGTCGATCAAATCAAAACCCATAGAGTATCCTGGCTTGTTTCTTATGGTTGAGGATAAGGGGTTTTGTGGCATTTGACAGATCCAGATCGAATGAGTGCCGGATCTGATGTTGATTAATTGTTGTCAACGTATGGACCTTGAAATGCTCTATGGTACCTGAAATCTTGGGCTTGAATTAGTAGCCTTGGTCAAGAAACCTAAAATCGGTCGACACTGAGTGACGGATTAAGGAACAGTTGATGTGACGTCCAGAATAAGAGAGAGAAACATGCAGGGAAGATTATTTGGTACTCGATTGAAGAGCATATATCAAACTATTCGTCCATTTTCTCCTCTATATGTCACACTTTACGGATACGATACGCATCTAATCAATAGATCATAGAAGCAACCTGTCGTGTACCTATCTAGGATTCAGGTATGCACAAAGCACCAAACAAGCATGTCTCAATGTTGTGCACCACCACCAACGACACAACACACCACCTATGCATAATGACCTCGTTCGCAGTATATGCAAAGCAATCATGCTAAGTCATTGGCATTGGATTGGAGGCTGTTGTAATTATGGCCATGCTGACTGTCTCGAACAAGATACTGTTTATTTCTCTCGTTTAATCAAACACCATTTTCAGGTAACAAGATACCAAGTACCAAGCTTGCAACAGGTATTCATTCACCAAGGAAAAAGCAAATGCAAGCCAGCAGCGAACTATACAATTGTAAAGAATTTGTTATTTTATCAGTCACAAGATCAAGCATGGGATAAAACAATCTTTAATTGAACTTGTTGAGGCTGCTGATATTATAAAACGAGCAATGCGATATTTCATAATGCCAGTGATTATGATATTCTCAGTCGTCGACGCTCAGATGGCAAGATGATAAGTACGTCCCCATCACGGTTAAAGGGTAAGCATAAACAATCTGAAAAATAAGGGATACATTTGTCAAACCAAACATTATATACAAATACTGCCTAAAACTCTTGAAAACACGGTGTGTAGAATGAGAAGTTCTTGCCAGAATTAAACCCAAATGATTTTTTGCGGCTTAAAAGCACCTGGTGGTTTTGGGTGATAGCCAAGGGGGTTCCCACTAGCATTTCCTCTTTGGTTAGATTCGAACCTCATCCCACCATGCCTCTGTTTCCCGTGACGCGGCTCATTCCAATGTGTATGGCCCCAAATCCAAACGTCTCTCCAGTCCAAAAGAGGCATTGTAGTTTGAATCGTACTATGATCATAGCCATGTCCCTTGCAGCCATCAATAACATCACTACCATGGCTATCTCCACTACTGAAGTCACGAAGCTTCTTTGCGGTCTGTTCAGGAGGCGAAGTTCCACTCTTGGATGGTGGCATGTGCGTTATAATAAGTATGCGCGTTTCAACCTCTTTGGGATCGTCTCTAATTTTCTTTGTTTCCTTCCTGATCCATTCGCAAGATGCAAAATGCCTTTCAGTTCTTTGCTGGTTGTTTTGATCGCGAGGCTCATGACCTCCGCCTCTCCGTTTTTCAGTCCACAATGTACAGCCTAATATCACAAGCTTGCCCCCCATCCCTTGAATGGTATAGCGGTCGTTCTCCAGGAACACCAATTTTCCTAATGTATCTGGATGCTTTACAAAGCCTCTAAGCATCTTTATTGTCCCTTCCACTGTACAACTACTGGATGGCCAGAAGTCTCTATTTCCAGCTACGAGAAAAACTCGTTGAAGTTGTGGTTTGGCGCACATTCTAGCTAAAAATTTCCGATATTCAGTCTCACTTTGTGCTCCACCAGTATTCCCTATGTCGCCGGCGAGGATCAAATATGGAGCACGCGGTTGAAAGTCAAAATTTGTATAGCTCGTCTGTTCAAGATGTAAATCTGAAACGTAGTGAAATGAAAAATTCTGTTTGATAGTGGGAGGAAGAACGACGAGATCATTCGGCTGACCGAAAGCCCTCCGTACTTCAGCAGCAGTAGTAGCATCAGTGTAAGGATCGATACGACTATGTAATAAAAGTGCTATTTTATTCGTCCCTCCGAATTGCCCTCCACCCGATGTAGCCGGAGCCACTGGAGCAGGTACCGTTGGCTGGGATGTTTGAAGAGGTCTAGGGGTGGCTGCGAACGGATTGAAGGAGAACGGTGCAATTGTAGTTTTGGGATCTGCTTGACTCGATGAACCCGTGATCAAACCAGATGCCATTCTTCTGATATACTCTGCAACTGCTTCCTCATCCTGACTTGGAAAACTTCCTGTCGTAGTATTCCAAGATGTAGACCCAATTGGTGGGGGGTTTGGTGCTGCACTGGATGAGGGTCGGAAAGACGCTAATAAAGCTTCGATACCTGATGGCCTAGTGGTTGTGACGCCTATCCCTGTAGTCGATGTTGTAGTTTTGGGCGGAGCAGGCAGGCTTGTCTTACCAGGTGGCTTTATCCGTAGGTTCAACAACTCCTGAGCGTATTCTAGTGATTTGCGGGCCCTGTAAATTAAAGCCTCTTGTCCTTCCTTGGTCGTTCTTTCAAACCTGTCTCTATCGATTTTTTCCTGAGAATACCCTGAAAAAGGTTTAGGATGGCGACCAACTTGTTCCAACTGCATGTTTTCGAAAAACCAGTGAGGATGACCAGTATCTCCGGATAACTCATCTTTATGAGCTGGATCGCTCATAAATTGTTGAGAAAACTTTTGATAGAAAATAGGTTGTTTTAATACAATGAATGATCTTAGTAGCTCATTAGCACTGATGCCGACATCGCGTTGCCTTTGACGGGCAAGTTTCTTTGCCCATTCAGTGTTCCCCGCCTTCCACGGTATCCAAAAGTCTATATTGGGTGATATCGGGGGCTCAGGTAATCCAATGTAGTCTGGTATTGTCGACCCTGAGGGAGTTATGCCTGAAATCGCAGGCGGGGCAGATGCAATCCCTACTCCCCATCCCGGACCGGAGCCTGAGGGAGCTGATGGAGCTGGTAGAACTGGTGGAGCTGGTGGTGGAGCTGGTAGTGCGGTTGGTGCGGGTGCTATCACTCCTCCGGCACCTGGACCTGGGATTCCTGAGGGAGCTGATGAAGCTGGCGGAGCTGGTGGTGGAGCTGGTGGTGCGGGTGGTAGAGCTGGTGGAGCTGGTGGTGGAGCTGATGGTGTGGGTGTTATGCCTCCTCCAGCACCTGGACCTGGAGGAGCTGGAGGAGCTGGAGGAGCTGGAAGATACCCCGACGGACCTCCAGGTGGCGGATGTTGAGGCGGATTATTCTTATCTGACCACAACGAAAGGGGCGTTGGTCTCAATCTCGAAAGAGGTTCCAATTGCCTCCTCCAAATCTCCCCATCATCAGTAAAAGCTTTTCCCCTTCCCCTATATCTTTGTGCACTTTGACGATCACGATTGTAATCTAGCACAAATCCCTCATTGGTTTCATGTCTCTTTACCCTTTTGGGTCGACTTTGATTGACTATCTCTTGTCCTGCTTCTGGCAATTCATCTATCCTAACAGCGGGAGCGGGTTCCCAAGGACGTGTTTTGCGCTTGTCGGGATTGACTCTTTTGGGAAACATGGCGATGATATTGATGATGACGGTGAAGATGAAAAGTAGTATTGCACTAGTTCCGATGGCAGCGGCGAGAGTTCGGATTCCTCGTAAAATGTCGAGTTCAATTGGCATTTATATGATATTGATGGGTTGAGTCGACATACTTTGGCGATGGGTTTCAGACAAGGGAAAGCATTTTATTCTTTAGAGCTCTTTATGAATTCTTTTCTTGTTTATTTTGACGATTTTTGCCGGAACAGGTATAGATGTTCTTTATTGGATTTAATTCGAAAGAACTTTTATGGATTGGGATGAGATGGTTGCTATATTCTTTGTCTGAGTAGACAAGCAATTGACACGAAAGAGAATGTCGAGTGCCTCTTTTCATATGCCAAAAAAAGGCGCGTCTGCTGGCATACTAGGAGTCAATTGGTCATTTGAAGAATAAATTTCTAGACTTAATGGTATAGAAAAGTGCCAACTTGCAAATATCGTTCGTGGTGTTTTCGCCGAGAGCAGTTCCTCAATACTCGATTTGGAACAATTCTTCATCCACGAAGTATAGTGTACACCAATCAGTCATCAATTTTGCGATACATATCAATCGCAGTTTCTGCTCTTCTCTCTACCAAACGTCTAGAGGCGTAACACAAAAGTCGAAGCGAGAGATGATAGACCGACATTTATTCTTCGTAGGAAGAATACTTGCAAATAATAATCACTTTATAATCCAATGCGAACGAAAACCCCAATATATGTTTGAGCAACATGAAAATCTCAGCACTTATGAAAGTTCAAATCGACAACGCGGTATCACATTCCCACATTCCCACACCGGTAACAGAACCCAGAACTCCATCGCCTCAACGCCTCAAGGAGAAATCTCTGCCCATCCACTCAGCATACAAAACCGTACCTACATACCCCATATAGTTCTTCAACCTACATTCCCTCTTCCTGATCATCTCCACAATCCAAAAATTACACTACAACAAACTCACCTTACAACAAAGAAATATAGCTTGACATACCTACCAACTACTACCAATTCATCATCTCGCTAACACATCCACCAACTCCTTGTATGATTCTGTAGCGAAAACCCCTCTCTTACCTTCTTAGACATCCTGATTCTAACTGCAAAAGAATTGTAATTTCTAGGGCGAATAAGATACTGGATCTAGAAGTTTAGGTTGAATACAAGAGGGAGGTCGAGAAAATCCTTCGTGGTGTGGTGGAGTTTTGTTGTATATACCTATGTATATAATTAGTGCGAAAATGACAGCATAGCGAGTCTAATAATGGAGTGTTGCCGTGATATTATAACAAAATCATTGATAGTTATAAAGAGAGCAGATATAAATAATAAAAATAGCATGTATCTCCAAGTCCAGCGAACGATAATAAGAAATCCCTTTTCGCGCACGCCGATAGCGTTACCGTTGAGGAAGCCTGCAGAGAGATTTCTTTCCCATGATTGAAAATACTATAGCAGGAGCTTTGCTATTCTCATCTTCCAATGAAACTTTCAAATTTGCGTAATTCTCATCCACACCTATTCCATTCAACTTCTCCCCATGATCACACAATCCTTTTTCATGCGATGGAACTGGGTAATGTTCATCGATACCGCTATATAATTGAGACTTCTTTGCCTAGTGGTAAGTTATAATCACTAACCACATTTAGATAGCATTTTGGTAGGTAATAGAAGCATTACGTATCGTAGGTAGCCGCTAAATCCAGAGTAGTACCAATCGCACTAACCATCCACTCATAGAGTCAGTCAGTCATATTGCCAGCATGATTTCAAATTGTAATCATTCCATCTCAATCTCAATCTCATTCTCCATCCGTAATGATACTAACCCACGAATCCAAGGGCACCACATCTTCTCTCCAATTCCTCGACTTCAGATCAGATCAGATCGGACAATATCTCAAAGTCCGAGTGGACAAAAGGGCCGCGTCAGCGTCTAATTTACAATATCAGCTTACAATCATTGACATCGGTACCGACTGAAATTTACCCTACACAAGAAAAATGAAAAAGAAGTATAGAATTTGACGTTCGCGTGCGCAGCGAGTTCGGGGATGTAAGAAGATGCAGACCTGGGTCGAGGTGCAGTGGATCACGTTCGCTCGAGGAACTTGCGTCAGCATTCTCGGTACGTGATTTTTAGCACAGAAAGGGGGATCCGGTACTCGTACATACATGCATAGATATATAAATAAGTATCTTCCTACTCGTATACATAGGTAGATGCTGTCTTTCGAATTTCGTTGTTTGCAACCAAAAATAAACCAATAGTGTGAGATAAAGCCAGTCAACCAAGCAGTAAAACAAAATGCGGTTCTCAACTCTAAGTATAGCGACAATATCTGTAGCTCTCACATACGCTCAAACACCAGCTGAGAGCTGGCCTATCACATCTCGTAATGTGGGGTGTGCTTTTGGAAATATAACGGTTGTGCCTGGAAAATGGATAAGTCCTTCTGGTATGCTCTCCTCATTCCATAATACCCTAGCCCATCCCATCTCCTCCCCAGAAAAAAACAAAACAACCCCCCCTCAACTTTCACCCTCTTCTCACAAACCCCACAGACGTAACCACCCAATCCACCATCTACCGCACCACTACCCTCCCCAACATCGACACCACCACCAACCCCCAAAAACCCTACATGCTCCTCATGCTCGACCTCTCAATCCCCTCCTCCGACGTGACCACGCCTTCACAATACTCTACCCTCGTCCCCGGCCTCGCCCCCAACACCACCACGCGCCTACACTGGTGGCAAGGAAACTACAGCATCGAATCTTCCTCTCCCTCTGCATCTCCCTCTCCCCACCACACACTCCTCCTCAACACCTCCGACAGCGTCGCCGCCTACACGGCACCCCGCCCGCGCGACGCCACAAATCATACCTACGCATTCTACCTGTTCACACAGCCGGAGAATTATTTTCCAGGCGAGGAAGCGGCAAATGGGACGTATTATGATGAGACGACGAGCGCGAGATTTAATTTTTCGTTAACGGGGCTGGTGGAGAAAGTGGGGGAGCCGGTGGCCGCGAATTGGTTTGTGAGTAGTGCGTGAGGTGGTGATAGGGGGGCGGGGTGTGGGATGTGTGTGGGGGAGATGGTGTTTACCTAGGTGAAAGTATTTGATTCCAAGATTACAATGTTCTATTTAGTGGATCGCTTCTGTTGTAGATAAAGATGAGATAGGTGAATATTGTCTTTGATAATGCTTACCTGCTAAGACACGAGCAAGCTCCTCTCGATCACGGAGAACGAGCTCTTTGAATACTGCTTTTAGTCTGCCAGTTTATCACACGTTTCGAAGAGAAATCTTTTACCAAAAATCATTTCATAATTTGTACTCAGGTATAGTGCTGCCCCTCAATTTCGTAATTTCATAACCCCCAAAACCCAAAACGCAATAAGAAACTAATAATACACTTGTTCGTGCACACTCTACTTGCCCTATCTGTTTGAATCGCACCTCTTCATTCATTGATTGCCCTTCTTAGCATCCTCTGCATCATCCTTTGGCACGCTAACAACAACGGGCACAACCACACTATTAAGATTTCGAAGTGCCTACAAATCTTCACCATTAGCAACATACCCTTTACACCCGACCCACCATTGATCCAGAGAAAAGATAAACTCACTTTGACGAAGAACCCCTCACTAGGAACATTTCCATTCCACGCATCCTGAACCTTTATAATCTTCCCATCTCCACCCTGTCCCTCAGTCCAAATACTCACCTTACTCTCAACAGTCTGTGCCATACCCCCCTTTAAGACATATTTCGTCTTCAAATCCATCTCAATTGGATTCCCCGCACTCGTGACCTCATGTCCTAGACGTTCTATATTGTTGCAAACAGCTTTTAATCCAAACCATTGAGCAGAATATTGTTTGCGCCCTTCGGCATTGGTGATTTGATCGGCGAAGACAGCGGTGTCAGACCAGAGAGATAGCTTTTGTTGGGAGGGAAGACCTGCGAAGAGCTTGGAGGAGGTCAGTTTCTTGGCTTGAGCACAATGAAAGGAAAGAAAAGAAGGCAAGGGAGAGAAGTAAGAAGCAAAAGCCAGAAGCAGCAGAAATAGAAGAAACTCATACATCCAAAACACTTCCCACAACCACCTTCTGTTTCTGATTCAATTCCACTCCCGGGGCGGTATGAACATTCGTATTTTCAATTCCCAACTCACTGAAACCCTCTGTGCCAGCACTTCCAGCATTCGCATGTGCAGAGCCCGAAGTTGTGCTATACAATCTACTTCCCTTTCCCAACTCAGTTGAGCCTCTACGGGCATCATCTGCACTGGGGATTCCCGACGACATATTGGAGGATGTACGTGTAGTATGAGAAATTGCTCTTGCTCTCGCTGTCGATGTATTGAAAGAAGAGGTAGCAAAGACCGAAATGGGTGTAGTAACTTTACTTCCAACAGTGATCTTTCTCGCAGAAGTAGTTGTAGATGTTATATTTTGTAGAGATCTGGTGAGTGAGGAACGCATTAAGTACTTGAACGTGATGATGAGTTGGGTAGAGACGTTGATGAAGGTGTAGAGAGAAACTATGAGATTGAGAAAGAAATCTGAAATGTTTATACCTGCCGTTTCTATTTTATATGCATAAATCACGTACTACTTAGCACCTACGTCGTATTTACAGCTCCAAATTATGATGTAAGGTAGTTAAGGAAAGTATTATGAGGGGCAATTGCCCATCTACCTATCCAGATGCTCGTAAATCCATACGAGTCTTGACATCATTGATGTTTAAATCCGGAAGGGGTAGGGTGAATGTATTACCCCACATGATTTCTCCAAAGCTCCCGTCATTAGTGTCCGCTCTGATTAGACATCAACCTCCGTGATATCTGATTACGAGCCTTTTCCAAATATTACCTAGTAAAGTATCTGGGTATCACAATAGCTACACATCAGAAATGGAAGATGGAAGATAGAGCGTGAAAATTGTAACGTATAAGAGGTGACCACCAAAAAAAAAACAGCTTTTTAGTTTGAAAAATCAATTGTAATAATGCTATCATCTCTCTCTATCAATCATGGGTATTTTCCCCATGTATCATCAATAACGTCTCAACTCCATTTTTGGTATTCGTATGCGTTGCATATTCGTGATTCATAATTATCCTTCCACTCGCAATTGTCCTCCCTTGGTCACCATAAAGACCTAACCTGTAATGCTTCCCTCAAGCTTGCACAAGGAAGCTACCTTACTTGCAAGATCATCAGCTTCACTTCTTGTGGCAGCTTCGGCATATACTCTCAAAGCATCTTCCGTGCCACTTGCTCTTGCGAAACTTCTACCATCCTTGAATTTTGCGACAAGTGCATCAATTTGTTGTTGTGTGCCTTGTGGCTCTACGAGCTTTCTCTCAGCATCGGTTGTCTTGAAAACGTTTCTGTCGGCAACTTCAACTCGGACAAGACGATTGGGTAGATCAATATAGGTAGAATCCCACTCCTTTGGTGTCCAAGACTTGTGGGCCAGAATTGTCTCAACCAGTAACATATCAGAGAGTGCGTCTCCAACCGTTTGATTGATCAGATCGGTGAGAGCACGGAGAGTTTCCAAGGCGTTGGCCTGAGCAGGAGATTCTGGGGTCGTGCTAGCAAATACTTTCAAAGCTTGTTGGGAGAATACTACAGTGCCGTGACCATTTGCTTCAAAGTAAACACCAACATCGAATTTTGTAGCAGCATGATGTAACCATTTGACACCAGTAGGAGTACAAACGACAGGAAGCTTCAAGGTCTTCTCAACATACTTTGTACTAGCACCATTGGCGTAAGCAGTTTGTACAACACCGATTCTCAATTCATCGGCCAATCCAGCTTCTCTAGCAAGATCACCAATGAATGAAGCTGCGAGTGTAGCAATTCTATCACCATCCAATAGACGGAAACCATGGTCAGAATCATTGAAATAGTAAATGATTCTGTCAGCATCTCCATCTAATGAGCAGCATCGATCATTGTTTCCAGCTTTCGATGAAGGGGGAGCTCGTTGTTTGGTCTTGACATAATCGGCACCGCACTATCAAATATAAACATTAGTCATTGAAATCAACAGTACAGAAATTACTAACCTCCTGGTTTAAGCTCTCTGCTTTCAAAACGTCATCGTTGAATACTTTGATGTCGAGGATTCCCTTTGGTAGATACTTGATCAACTCAGCCAATTTGGGACCTCCCACACCGTTGGCACAATCGACGGTGACTGAACCAGTAGTCTTCTTTCCCTTCATAGCTCTCTCAAAAGCCTTTGCCAATTTCTCATAGTATCCAACCTCACTAACATCTCCATAAGCTTGTGGTGTACCCTCAGTGTTCGTGCATCTAGTCAAATAATGCAATTGCGGTGTTGTAAGCAACTTGTAATCCGTATAATCTGTTCCCGTCGCCTCAAGAGCATCGATAAGAGACGCTACCAATTTTGGTCCCGAAGGTCTAGTATCTCTGGCATAAATGACTCTCGCGGGAGTTTCTGGGTTGATTTTCAAATCCTTCTCCAACTTGCGATAAACGTTCACCACATCCTCATTACTCGCATTGGCCAACTGTGTACTGTATGCCTCCCAACTATTCTCCAACATTTCTCCCATCGGATCAACTAGCTTTACACCATTATCCTCAGGTGGGTTGTGCGACGCCGTAATCATAACTCCGATGGTTTGACCACCCAATTTGCGCGAGCGAAGGGCAGCGACGAGACCAACGCGAAAAACGACGGAATCGAGAAGGTTAGCCTTCATACGAAAGCCCGCGGTTCCATATTGGAAAACCCGATCGGCAGGTTTGGGGTGCTTGTTTGAAGCTTCGAGAATTTTGGAATCCATATTGTCTGACTTGATGAGCGAAAATAAAGACCTGTAACAGAGGGAAAGGCTGGGGGAGAGAGGAAGATTATAAGAGGATTGTAAGACCCCAATATAATTATCCAGTATAGGGTGCTCCAGAATGCGTGTTTTTATTCCTGATCTTCTTTTCTTTTACCTTATAAGTATTCAACGTACCTTTGTTGAGATTTGTCTATGCGTTTCTATGCGTTGGACATAAAATTTGAGGGGCTGATATTATTAGGTAGGCAGGTAGGTATTTAATTTATGTTCTATTTAAAGGTTCACCGATTTTGTGAGGAGCTGCATAATTTGCGCATAAAATGGCGCAAAGTGCCAGGTGGTGGTGACCTTCAGCTACTATGAAGATTATGCTGTGGTGTGTATTAATAAGCAAGTTCCCAGATTATTTGAGCGACTGATACGTACAATTCTCAACTATAAAGAACCTCACAAGAGGACTTGACCGAATATCTAGCAGGTAATGTATGTCTTTGGCTATCTGAAACCTCGCTCATTATTTAGTATCAGAGTTGAAGTTTTTGATCCGTCGTAATTATTTCTTTTATTTGTCTTGAAGCTATTACAATCCTCCATGTAAAATGTCCGGAGAACATCTGTCTCGCTATTTCAGATTATGCACCATCGCTCAGTTGCGAATATCCTGTGAAACTCCTGTACTATATGCAGTGACCGCCTAGATACTCCATCGATGCATGGATATGTGTAAAAGATACCCCTTTTATGATTGTCCATCCCACAAGAATTATCACCTCCACCCCACTTCCCCGAATGAAATTGAAAGCTTGTGTTACAGTGAACACTCAATTATACAACTCATCCTCATCGATATCACCCATGCCCACTGCGTCGTCCTCATAGTAGTCATCTTCGCCATAACCATTACCGTTCACTTCACCTCTCCAATCGTCACCAGCCGGCTCATTTGTCTCATCATCAACCTCTTCGACGATCTCCTCCTCACCATCAACTATACTACCTGCAACTGAGCCAGGAGCCGTGGATGCATCTCTACTGGTAACTTTACTTCCTGTAGCGACACTACCAGGTCCAGACCTAGTGCCAACAGTCTTGAAAATGTCTCTAATTGCTTCATAGTTGATCTTCTTACTCCAACTTCTTTCCTTCATTGCGTTGACAGTTGCTTCTGCTGGTGTACTAGCGACACTGGTTTGTCCTTCTCCAATTCTTGGCTTCTTCTTTCTCGCTCTAGTAACCTTTGGTGGACCCATAGCAGCCTTTCTCTTTTCAAAATCCTTTTGTTGTTGTTTGCGGAGCCAATCTTTATTTGCATTGAGCCAAATTTGTTCTTTCTTGGCAACTTCAGCATCAGGCAACACACAATTCATAACTTCTTCATCATCGGCAAATTCATCCTCTCCAATGTGAGTATCCATGCTAACATACTTTTGAGGGTGGTTTGCTTCCGCGTAAAGAAGGTGGATATGTGCTTTCTTTTGGGCTATAGCAAAACTAATTGCATGCTCCTGCGTATGAGGATCAGAGACCATTTCTGTGATTTGTTGCTCGAGCTCGTCTTCTACTGCGAGCCATTCCTCTGGCATTTCGATAGGAGGTTCATCATTTCGTGGACGACCTGGGCCTCTAGTGGGTGCACCGGCGTGTTCTTCGAGTTCTTTGTCAGCTTCTGCATCGGCGGGCTCAACATCGCCAAACTCAGCAACAAGTTTGTTGAACGAAGTGCCAGATTCATCTTCAATGGCGTCGTCCAAAAGTCGTGGATCAATATTTTCTTCTCGGGAGGTAGGAATTGCAGGAATGGCAAAGCCATCGGCATCGCGTCGTACTTCTTCTGATGGTACTGGAGCTCCAGATGTAGATTTTTGCCTCTTATTGCTTTCATCGTTTTCCTCTTCAGTATCCTCCGCATTGTCTCCCTCGGTCTCAGTTGCCTTACCTTTGCCCTTACGCTTGCGCTTCTTCTTTTTCTCTTCCATTTCTTTGAGGTAGGCTTCGGACTTTTGGTAGAATGAAGGAGGGTCGTGTGCAGATTCCAAGAACTCGTTGTTGAGAAACTCTTCAACTGTAAGAGCACTACTTGGTGTTCTCTTAAATTCCTCCAGACGCTTTTGAATAGTGGCTGTTGTGACTTTGACGACATAAACTACTTCGGTGACTGTTCGACGAAAATTATTCATTCGTGCCGCTAGGATCAAACAAGCACCACAGACACCGGAAGGTCTCCTTCCCATAACCATCCAGTCCAGACTCATTCTTCGAACCATACGAATTGCATCATCGGCGACTTTTTCGGTTTGTTCGTAGAATTCGAGTTTGGAAGCGAATTTCCAGATCAAATCTTCGGGAAGAACTGGTAAAATGCCATCGGTAGCCAATGAAATCTGTTTATGAAGAGCTTTGAAATATTTACCGAGTGTAAATACATTAACCTATGATTGTCAATGAAATGTCAAATGATATACCGAGAATGCGAACATACCTGGGACTTGTCGGCAAAATCGATAAGCATAACTCTGCATGGCTGTTCCTTTCTACAGGCACTATACAAGCAAACAGCTGCCACAAGATCCGTCCTACGACCTTGAATAAAATTGTTCATCGATGCAAGTTTGAAGATTTGATGACCAACACCGACGACTTGATCTGAGATTCCGAGTTGATTTGCTAAAGCTTGCATGACACGTTTTCCTACATGGTGTTAGCTTCAGGCAAAGGGAATAGAGGTCTCGTCAGCACTGACCTTCGCGAAGAGTATTCTCCTTATTACTTTCCCCTCCACCAGCTCTTCTAAAGGCAGGTCCCATGGTTTGAGCACCACCTTGATCCGCACCCACATGACTTCCTTGAACGATTGCAGCACCACTGCTACTTTCTCCGAATTGGATTTCTGAAACAATATTTGAATCATCAACCACAGTACCACAGTTATGACATACACCATCTTCGATCTGAGGTTTAGTACATTGTGGATTTGGACAAGCCGGTCTTGCTTTGCCTCTTGCAGCACCCATGGCAGCTTTGCGGGAAAGTGCAGTAGGTGCTTTAATTGGTTTCATATTCCTTAACGGATTGGGCCGCGCCAGCGGTACTTTTGGTCGTGGAGGCATTTTGATGATGAATTTTGATGGATTGATGAATTAAAAATTGATACACGCAACCAAGTATAATTTACCCCTCTACCCCGCGATATTTCTCTATTGCCCCCTAATGAAATTGGATTAATTCTCGTCGTCGCAAAGCAACTGGCAAAGCATCAAGTACTACACGTGATAGTAGTATATGCTTGATGAAAAGGATTGGTTGAAATATTTGTTTCGATGGCGACGTGAAAAGGGAGAGTTGAGTTGGGTGGTGCTGTGTGGAAGGGTAAGGTTTTCCAAAAAGCGAGAATGGATTTGTGTTGTTTTGGCGTAGTGGTTTGCTAAATGAACTCGTCCTTTTTTTCACTATTCGTTGGTGGGGTACGGAACAAGCTAAACCGCTTTCATTGATTTAGCGAACAGAAAAATTACTATGTTGGAACCTTTTCTTTGAAGATTCACTCAATTCATCCATCAATTATGGATTTTATTCACAACTATTGAAGTATTGGGTATAAAAATATAGAGAAAATTCTGAAGGATTAAGAATTCACTTCCTGAGTAATCTATTTATTAAGATAGGAAATCACAAGCAGTCGTGGTGAATTATGACATCTTTCATACCCAACTATCTACTACTTCGTAGGGAGAGTTGGAGTGAAAGAGAAAGAGAAAAGAGAAGATAACATCGAGAATAAGGTCAAGCTCCGACTTTCCGTTCCCTCCTCTCAGTTAGTGTAACCCGAGCGAGGATTGCCCAGATGTTCGTAGTCTTCAAGCTATCACTTCGTGGGTGTACTAGATAGCTACCAGACATGTGAGATGAAGTGTATCAAGTACCTACGAAAGATATCAGAATGTTGAATTTATCCAAAGTGGCGATGGTCAAAGTCGTCTTTGTTATCATCTCTACCATCATCTATACATACCTATCTAGCTAAGGAATTTCAGTATCATGATATTGACCTGCGAATTTGTGCCATAAAAGATATATGTACCAGGTAAAATTCTGGATTCTTTGGCTTTTCCCCAATAACTTTCTATCAAAATGCTGTTCTACCTATAAATAATCTCCGATCCCCAAAGTAGAAGGCGGTGGTAGAATTTCGGCCGCTTGGTGAGAAAAAAATCCCTGCATATTGAGACATTTTGGTTGTTTTATCAACCTTGAAATCTCTTGATTAAATACAAACATTTTATCCTTTTTCTCTTTTTCTACCACCCTTCCATCACCTTTACACTTTTTTCTTCCTCTCCCTTTTATCATCTTTTGTGCTACTTCCAAGCACAATACATATCCAATCATGGCTGACGATCCAATGAAGGGATTGGAGCATTCCGAAGCTCATTACTTCAACAGGTGAATATATACTCTTCAATCCAATCTTTGCCGATAAGAACGGTTTATGCTAATCTTCAAAATAGTTACAACCATCATGGTATGCAAAACATTCAATAAGATACCAAAGGAAAATGCTAATCAGTACATAAAGGTATCCATGAGGAGATGTTGGTATGTAATTGACAAGCAGGAAAAAAACTGCTTCTCCCAAACTTTACCCCGCTTGTTAACCAAGTAAATAGAAAGATGAAGTCCGCACTCGATCATACATGAATGCTATTGTACAAAACAAGCATCTTTTCAAGGACAAGATCGTTCTTGATGTAGGATGTGGTACCTCCATTCTCAGCATGTGTGTATTTTTCTTTTCCAGCATCTCAAAAACTCAAAAACTGATGGGATGAAAGGTTCGCTGTCAAGGCCGGTGCTAAACACGTTATCGGTGTCGATATGTCCACCATCATCGAGAAGGCCCGTGAGATTGTCGAAGTCAACGGCATGTCCGACAAGATTACATTACTTCAGGGAAAGATGGAGGAGGTTGTACTTCCATACCCAAAAGTTGACATCATCATCTCTGAATGGATGGGCTACTTCTTGCTCTATGAATCCATGTTGGATACCGTTCTCTACGCTAGAGACAAGTACCTTGCGCCAAATGGTCTGATCTTCCCAGACAAGGCCACCATTTTCATGGCTGGTATTGAGGATGGAGAATATAAGGATGAGAAAATTGGATGTAAGTTTTAAGATTTTCACACGGCCAATATTTTCTTCAATGTTCGCATACTAATGTCTAAAAGTCTGGGACAACGTTTATGGTTTCGATTATTCTCCTCTCAAGGCTACCGCTCTCACCGAACCTCTCGTCGATACCGTCGAGATCAAGGCTGTCGTTACCGACCCCACCGCAGTCCTCACCCTCGATCTCTACACATGCACCAAGGAAGATCTCGCTTTCTCCTCTCCTTTCAAGCTTGATGTTCGCCGCAATGATTTCGTCCACGCTCTTATTGCATGGTTCGATATCGATTTTACCGCCTGCCACAAACCTATTAGATTCAGCACTGGGCCTCACACTAAATACACTCACTGGAAACAAACTGTTTTCTATTTGAGAGAAGTCTTAACTGTTGAGCAAGGAGAGCAAATTGTTGGAAGATTGGACAACAAGCCAAATGAGAAGAACCCGAGAGATTTGGATGTCAAGATTCAATATAAGTTGGAGACTACAGATCCATTGAGACAAGCTGAAGGAGGTGCTGAATATAAGATGTGCTAGAGAGCTCTCGAAAAATCATAAGTGATGAAGGAGGTAAGAGACTTTCGCGGCTGAGAGCGCAGTCTCTTTAAGGGAATTTAATTCTCTCATTTGTCAATCAAGAGATGATTTGATATTTCTATGAATGAACTGAACTGGGTATTTCTTTTGGCGTCAAAGATGGACCCATTCAAGATGAATAAATGGTTGGCTGGATGGGAATAACGAGATCTAAGATATGGGCTCAAGATCTTGAGAAGCATAGCATTGCATTGTAGCGCAAAATAGCCAGCGAGCTACGCAGTTGATAATATCTGAATGCAAATAAAAGCCATGAAAGACAGACCTCTTCCTCAATGTTTGTGACGTGAATGTAGTGATAGGAGTGTGCGCTTTATCCAGAGGTGTAGTAAAGTGACTTTATTCTACTCTTGATCTTAGACATAGAATGTTCTATTCATATAATGGATATCTATAAGCGATCTACTTCTGCCTTTTACGCCACTGGTTCCGGAAGAGAATTCAAAGAAGCAAAAACAAAAGCAGGAACAAAAACCAAAATACTCAAGTCTCGTCCCCCCAAAAAGCACGATATTAATGGGCAGGTGGACGAAGATTCCTCAATCCACCACCCCTCCTCCAATTCATCCAATCGTGTCTCTTTTCCCGGATTCCAATTATTCCTCACGCACTGCAACAAAACGTGAACTCCAAAACCGAGGCTGAACCTCTGCGCCCCTTTTCCTTTCCTATGTTATTCCTCAATCCTGAGTCTCTATTTATCATTTCTCTTTTGCTTCCAGATTTGAACAATATGCCCGGAATCCCATCTCACCGCTCTACAACACCCCAGCTCAAACAACACCCCCCCAAACCTCCGCAATCCGCGCGCTCAAAGCACCCTGGACCTTCTTGTTGCCTACCAGCGCACCGATCTCATTCGAAACCATTTCTCTCTTCCTTTTCTTACTCGCTTCTTCGGGATCGAGGAGGAGCGCAGGGCCTTTTCCTTTGGTTTTGGATTTCGAGGCATCGCTGACTGAGGCTCCGAGTCCTTCATCGGTATCGAGATTTTCAAAAGCTTCCAGGAATGCTCGAGGGGTCGCCCATCGCTTCTGTATCTCGATTGCTTTACTGGCTGTGATACCCCTGGTTCGCATGAGCATCTTGAGAAAAATATCTTTCAGAGTTAGGTTTTGAGATTTGCTGGATAGAGCGTCGAAGGCGTCGAATGTGATGTTGTATTCTCGATTTGGTTCTGTTTTCCTGAGATGTTGCATCAAGGGAGTGTAGTTTTTGACGGAAAGTACTTTTGTGGGAATGATATAGAGGGGATTTTCCTCGTATTGTTTCTTGAGCAGTTTGGTCATGCGCTCGATGTAGTTGAGACTTTCATTCAGATCGAGTGTTTGCTTCACGTGTATACCATCTTGAACCATCATTTTGGCAATGGACGTTGTGATTCCATCACCCCACTTATCCAAGATATCTGCGTCGATTTTCTTGTGTTCGACAAGGTATTTGACGTTTGTGATGCTAGATCGTTTGAGACGAAACTTCTGCTCTTCGTATCGACCATCTTTTATAGATCCGATGAGATCGTCGAGTCGTTTGCGCTCCGTAATATAGTCTAACATGATGAGGTTAGATGCTCCGAGATTGAGCCATTTGGCTTTGTCTTCGCGGACGCGTGCTACCCAGAGGAAATCGCCGAGGGGGAGTGCACGAACGGAATGGGGAACACCCATGCTGGCGAGTTGGTTGGGAATCCCATCACGGTCTTTTTTGCTGGCGACTTCGCGGTTGTCGAGGATGAGTTCGACGGTGAAGGTGCCGGGACGCAAGATGATGGGTTCGAAGGTTGGGATGCTCGTGGTTTCTCCATTGGGTATGTCGGGGATATTGGGGTTTGATTGGGATGATGGACGAGATGGAGAATTGATTTCTTCCAGTTCGGAATCGGAGTCGTTGTCTTGGTTTCTTGAAGCTGTTTTGGATGGACCTGCTACGACAGGTTGGAAGTCATGTGCTCTTCCCAATGTAGGATCACCGCTAGCTTTGATAGTATCGGCAAGATCCCATCCCTCATCTGTAAGATAATACCTGCTTGCTGGATTCTTCTTCGTGTAAACAAAATCTTTGTTGATCAAAGTCTTCATAGAATTCCATGCCGTAAAAAACTCACTAGGTCTTGTCTGAGTGAAAGAAGTATCGCAAAAAGGTTCTGCTAAAGCAATGATCTCCTCTTTGGTAATTCCTATTCTGCTATTTCGTGGTTGGGTTCCCAAAGCTAACATGATAGCATAAGCACCCGATCTCAATTTTGGAACATAGGGTTTAGGCTTCCTCGCTTTTTTTGGTGAAGGCGAAGGCGTCACAGATTCTCCCCCATCATCAACAGCTACCGATTTTCTTTTCTTGCCCCTCGGCTTTTTAGGCATAGGAATACCCACCTCATCGCAATATTTCTCAAGACTATCAGTCAGTCTTTTCGCAAGGCCCTCTCCAAGTCCATTCAAGCATACTGCCTCACTAGGATGATCAAATCGCATAGGACATGCTTTCATTGAATCGCGAGCTTTTTTGACGGTCGGAAGAGATTTGTATCCCCGTTCTTGTGCTTCGACAACCCATTCTTCAAGCCATTTGAGTAAGAGTGGGTTCCCGCATTCAATTGCAGGAGGCATTCTGTATGTCTGGTTGATGACTGCAAGGGGAAGTACAAGGCAAAATTGGAGAATGTGAAGGCGAAAAACAAGTTGTATGAACAGGTTTGTGGCGATTGCTTAATGAAGGAATGTTAAAGTTCCATGAAAAACTTCGAGCTTTGCAATGACAACTTGTGGGTTTATTGTTGTTGCATTGAATAGATGGTGGAGTATCGACAGCAGTAATGAAAGAAAGAAAGAAAGAAAGAGTAGCGAACAAAATCAAAGATGTTTAGTCGACGCGACAACGGAAACAATCACGGCCGATTGCGCGCGGTCATATGACAGCTACTATGGTGGTTTATGATTACTAAGCAGTCGAAAATGCACTACGCCTGGTGACTGCTTGTGTATTAATTTTGAACTCTCATCAAAGACTTGATCAAGTGTTTATGAGTTGCCAGTTCCTTCTGCTGTGAAGCTTCTATTTCGATATACTTACTTGATTTGCTTTCCCCGTCTTCTTTTCTTGGAGCTGAACATGCGGAGAGGCGTTGACCTAAATGTATGAAAGATCACGAAGCTAGTCGTCTTCTTGAGAGCCGCAAAGAACTTACAATAGCCCTCGCGATTCCCCTTTCCAAGCCACAATCTCCAGTTGCTTATAGGCTCATTGAGCCAAAATTTCAATCCGGATTCTCCACTCATCGTATTCGATAATGGTCTTGGTTTATCAACCGTATCATGTACTTCCACAGTTGCTCTTCTTTAAAACTTCACTAGTTCCGTAAAGCCAAGAATTTTGACATATAATCGCTACGTTCAAGGTCCAAGGACCTCCCAAGATTCAGTCGATAAGGATATGGTCACGATTTGGACGATGCAATTATCGAACTTCACGAGCTAATCTAATTCACTGCCCCGACAAACTTCAAGCTTGTCCTAGTTGTAGCTAGTATTGTTGTTCATATCGCTCGAATATATGCTCACAAACACTCAGTCACTGTGGAAGGTCTCTCATTCTTGGATTCAAACATTGGCAACACCGAAGCTACGGGTCCCCGGTCAAATCCTCATACTCCTGACTTTAAAAAAAAGCAATATGGCAGGAGATGATGTACGCTGGAGCAATACATCGAAGCGTACGCTACGTTAGGACAAACATTCAACGTAGATGTTAATAGCTTTGAAGGTTTGAGTAGAAAGATGTCTTGCAACCTCTACTCAAACCTTCCTCTCCCAGACTTTAAGGATTGAATGGCAGAGGGGCATGCTGAAGGTTTTTAGGAATGACCGTGAAACTTTCGCAGCAGAGATGTGGAGTACGTTAAGGATTTTCTAAAGTATTAACACGAAATACACTCAACCGTGAGTTCTTCCATTCCTGTATTGATGATGCAATGTTTTAACAGATTCGCAGAGCATGGTAAAAATACAATGAAGCATTGTTTAATCTCAACGAATAAGTCTTTATTGCTCCAGGTTGTGGTCAATTCATTCAAAAGGATAATCCTCACTTCGTCGTTACGCAATTGGAGGATTTGTCTTCAGGAATTCAGATTCGAACTTGCCGTTCCCAGCAAATACAATAGGCGTAGAAATCAATGTACAGTCACGGATACCAGATTACAAAGAAATATTAGTAGTCCTCGAAGAGGATGGTTCGGATGACCGGAAAAGGATTTGGAACGAATCGTCATCAGCGTGCTCAATAGTTCAACTCATTTGAGACTATTGAGCATATAGTCTGAATCTTCAGAGTTATTGGGCTAAACACATTTTGGACGTCAGAACAAAAGCTTCAGAAAAAGAATTTACAGGCAAGATCGGTTTGTTTGGAAGAAAAACGTGACGTTTTGAGTATACCCAGTCCAGAAGATTTAACTTGTTTATTGTTCAAAGTTTGTCTGGTGGACTACATTGGAATTTCCTGAGCTATTGCACTGATCATGGTCTCCCCGTGTATTCGTTATCATCCACTCACAGTTCTCGAAAGCGAATTTCAATGCTATTGTTGCATATCTGGAAGTCCTGTCAAACTTAAAACTCAAGCCGTATCTCTGCCAATACTATACTACCCTAAGAACTAATGACCAGGGAAAGAACCGGGCTTCATGGTTTTCAAAGCTATGGTTAGCTCATTCCATCATCTGCCAATTGGAGCCAAGGAGAAGAAACTTTCTGGATTTGTTGCACGTCTGGAATTTTAATGCACAGGCCTTATCCTAGCAAGTGCTCTCTTTAGGTCTTCTAGTGGAAGGTTTCTAGATAATTTGTTTCTTTTATTCTGGACACTGGTAGTAGGTCGATGTGAATTCATATCAATTCTTGGAAATGTAATTTGGGGCATCAGTCATGACAGTAGAATGATTATGAGTGCTAACCTTGTTGCGTTCATTCCCTCTTATTTCCTTGATTCTAGCATTTATCGTTCGAGGAGTGTCGCATCTTTCAATTCAAGCTTCTCTTTCCCCCCTTCTCGCCAAAAGCTGTGTTCCTATATCTATCTCAGAACTATGATTATTACGGGTAAATTCATGAGTGCACAGTATCCATTACCTTGAAACAGTTTGGTAAAATTTCTAGTCTGATGTCATGCTCCGCCAGCTCTTGCACTTTGAACTATTCGTACGTTATCCTTCATTCATTCTCACGGAAATCAAATTTGACCGTCTGGTAGCTTCAATAGGATTAATCCTAACAAGTCCCACGTCGAGTAATATTAGTAGTATACCATGATTACCAAGTTTTAGGAATTGACTAGCGAAACGTCCTCTTCCAAGAATTGTTCATCTTTAGCTCCGATACTTGGAGATGGCTCTGATCACTTTCAAATCACAGTCACTGGACTCTTTTAATCTAAATTATTTGCACGCCTTGACACTTTGAATTATGGACCTCCTCCTGACAAGTCTATTATTATTACTTTAGAGTTCGAAGTCGTTCCTCGGATGTTGGACAGAAACCTTTACTAACCCTGATAATCGGAACTATTTTAGAAACACGCATCATTTTGGGTTTTCAGGAACGATATGTTGCACATCTAACGACACTAAGCTCAAAACTCTCATCCTTACTAGCGGTATAAGTAGCGCTCAGCATTTAAAGAGAGTGACGATATAACCCATGCATCCTGGTATTACACATTAAACCGCGCGTTTTCTCAGCGCCAAATCAAAGAAGCTCACTTTTAAGTTCTATCCAGTTAGAACAATCAAAAGGACTTCTGTTGCATATCTACATCACCAATTTACAGGGGGTATCCCAAAAAGAATAATGGAAGTTTTACGTACATCGAAGAATCGCTGCATACACAATTGCCGGTAAAAGTTGAAAGAATACTTCATCACTTTGGCTGGGGTGATTAGAACTGGCGTTGATCGTAGTTTCCGTGATACTAGATTCACACTCATAGAAACAGTGCTATGAAACCTTTAGGCTCTTTAAACCTGCTTCGCAGCGTCTTGCAATATCATCAATCGTTCTCTCTTCCGTCTCGGAACTTCTAGACCATGAATGCTGACTAGCTGGCGTGAAGTCTACGTTCTGAAACTTCGCTCAGTGTCCTGGCAAGCTGTTGTAAATTGATGCCCTAGTGAAAAGTCTAACTCGTTTAATAGCGGCCATTTCATTTTAGATTAGTCTGTCTCATTCTAATAAACCTTTGATAGGAATTTCCTTTGCTTCTCCGTGCCTCCTACGTCGTAATAATGTACACATTATCGATCAATAATCGTGGAAATTTGCTTCAGAATCATGCTTTCATCTTGAACAGGTCTAACAGCGACGCAAAGTCCTCTCTCACCCCTCAAAACTCACTTATCTGAATCTCTCATTTCCCTTCCATTGCAGATTCACACGCCCCAATAGACAAAAATCGTCCCCACCAGTGTACCATGTTAAGATCTCAGAATACCTTAAACTCAAACCTCAAATCCACTACAAACCACTCCCTTACAATCTTCTAAAACTGTCTTGTTGCACATCTACAAGTTTCACGCACATGCCTTGTCCCAACAAGTATACAACCAATACATAGCTTGATGACCAGACTACAACTTTAGTCTCTGGTCAGTCGATCATATCTTTCAGGTGATCCAATCAGATTTTCCAGAACAGTTTTGTTGCATGTCTATAAGTGATTTCCACGAGGGTCATCCTACCAAGTATAAACACCATGCAATTATTCGTTTCTAAGCTATAAGTCTTGGCGCAAGACCAGCGCGGCTTTTACTTCTAGTCCGCGCTCGATAATCAGAAAGATCTACCAAGCGAAGCCCTGGCATGACATGTAACTGTAGGAACTATAAAAAATTTCTGATTTCTATTCTGCAAGTCACGTCACTCACTCTATGAACTCCAATATCAATGGTGAACTACTACTTTTACACTTTTAGATATAGGCTTTAAAAAATAATGAAGTTCCACGAGGTTGCGATTTTAGACCGAATGAGCCCTACTTAAATCCAAAGCTTATGATTCTTCCAATCACAGTTCTCGAAAAAGTTTTGTTGCACATCTGAACATAGAAATTGCAAGATTAACCCCGACAAGCGTGCAAGTAGTGCTTTGTAACCCGTAAATCACTGCAAAAAGCTTAACTTCGAACGGATATATAGCGAAATGATTCTCTGGATCTAGTAATCACAAGTATAGATTCATCCATGAGTCAAATTTTAAATCTTAGACTTCGAGATATCTTTGGTTCAAACTTAGGTTTTTACATCGTGGGTATTTTCGTGTAATTCTGAGGAATCTGTGTGGATAATTTACATGCATGATTAAATGCAGAGGATAGTAACCCGTCATCATCATTGCTGACTATAGAACCTTGAATCTTTTATTGTCTATGCATATTGTCTCGTACACATACCCTTCGATCTCGTCTTGCACTCCTATACTCAAAGTTCATGATGGGACTTACCCTGAGATTCTCACTGCTGTATAGCGGCCAGAATCCGAATATTTTGGGCTAGATCCGATTCGTATCTCAAGATACTGTCATATTTGCCTGAGGTCTTTGAGAAATATAAAGAGATAGAATTCTGTAGGTGTGCCAAGGACTATTGAGATTCAAATGGGACGATACTTGTGCAGAAAATGGAATCAATAGAGTAATCACACTTCGAGAGCATAGAGGGTCAAGAGCTCCAGTCCAAAGCATTACTACACACTTACGTGCATCATCGTATCGATACTTGCATACCCGTGAACAAATAAGACCACCAAGTTCGCCGGTATCTCAACAAATAACATATTAATCAACGGCGACATTAACTAGTGTATCGTCCACTAAGTAAGAGAGTAAGCGTTGTATGCGAGGGGGGTATGGTGAACAACCAGCCTCCCTTGAATCCCCTATATCATACATCATGTTCTATTCTGCCTATGATGAACTGTAAACATCGTCTCTAGAAATCTGCCACTCATTTGCCCAGTCCGTATCCAATCTCGCCACTTAATGCCAATATGTCCAGAGAAGCAGTTTCAGACCGACAAATCTTAATTGCTTTCGCATTTCGGTCATTTCGTTTATGTAAAGAGAAGTCATCTAAAGTTAATGTCGTAGATCGTCACTCGCGAGAACTGACCTGTCGAATATGGTTCGAAAAGGAGGGATACAATATCGGTCCCGGCACACCATCAACTATGCGCCAAGGAAACCGCAAATGTTCTCGATATCGAAAGATCCGCTCAAACCGCCACGGAGCGAAGTCCCACTACTTTGTCTCAAAATACATCTCATCCTAACATTCAAGCAAAGTCGTACCATTCACGTCCACTTCACTTTCCCTTTCTACATCAGGCTCCACTTTCAAATTGATCTCATCAAGTCGGCGCAATTCTCTGAACCCCTATTCTAATCTTTCACCCGGCCAAACCCAACAACGCAACAATGATAAGTGACAAGTTGATGGCCAATAAGCAAAGTCGAACCGTATGCTACTATTGTAACCTGCGTAAAGGATAGCCTTCTGACCTTCCAATTTCGGCGTCAATCATTTTGGATAAGAGAAACCGAAGAGGACATGTTCCACTCGCAGATGCTGATTAAGGGCCGAAGGGGTCGCAAAATGTTGAAATGATGGATTCACAATCTGTATCCTTGCATTTTTCCTCGTCGTCCATTTCTTTCCTGCTCTTCTTTTTGGCACCCGAACGGCGACGAATACGACTATTTGCACGGCGATTTCTCTCCATGGGGTTGAATGCATGGCGAAGATGCTACTCTATGTTGAATTGCAGGCTTTGAATGAGAAAATATGTTGGTACATTCCACTTATGTATACTTTATGCCGGGCATCGTTAGTGACACAAGGGTAGTATGAGCGGAATTATTTTTAGACTTAGTTCAACTGCGAGTCAGGTATCTTAACATCATGTATGATATATTGGGGGTATATCAAGACTTATAGAAGACAAGAATGATCACATTTGTTGTTAGTTAACCGGATAATGGGATGTAGCGGCGATCAACCAATCAGTCATCAATCATCATGCATATCATCTTCAAAAGTATCGTAGATACGGAGAGATTTTGTCTCATCAAAAGTCATATTGTCAATCGAGCATTGCATCCTCGAGGCTTGTTTGCATGACATCGGAGACTAAGACTGAATGGTTGACGATATAGCAACTACCCGGCTCACGTTTCATGGCACAAAGCATGAAATTCAACGAAGACACGACAATGTGTGGATGGTGGCGTATTCTAGGGGCCATGAACCCATCCTGAGCGAGCCCCAATGAAGACTCGCTCTGCAGCCATGCAATCAAGGTACGAACATGGGTTGATTCAATATTATGGTGATATGTGGTCCACTCGGACACTTGTTAAATGATACTACTGCAGTTAGATGGATAGCTCACAGCTTGAGCTGCGGGAGGCAGTGAAAGGCTGCGAGTTACGATAGCAGGAAATTCGTGTTCCTCTAATATCGAGATTAAAGCTCACAGAAACGGGTTCCGTGTTAGCTTGAAGGATACTTATCGTGTTAAGCGAACCACCCTCGACAATTCATGTGCTTACTTTATCCGGGGTATCCAGAACCAAGGTTGGACCACACTCTCTGAATGATCGTACGGCGATATGATAGATACATCAATGCTGTTGAAGAATGCTTCAGGGAAATTTTTCCACTGGAGAGTATACGAATACAAGTGCATTGTTAATGCAATGAAAAAACTATCTGAAGATAATAGTGAAGGTGTAAACGATATTAAAGTATTTGGAATGACATTCGACAACCTTGGAAATACATGAGAGGTCAGGAGGAACTTACGGGTAAACTCCGCTTCACTTAACCCCGCCGCAAATTGATAAAGCCACTCCCACTGAAATCTTGCCCGCAAAGTGGCTCGAGAATGGAAGACGTCACAACATCCAAGCTTCATTTTGAGCTTCCAAGAGCTGCTGTGCGATCATTCGTGGTAACACCTTTTATTGAATTGTACCACAACCAACAAGGCAACACATCTGCAGTTATCCTCACCGACTTCTTAAATTCTTCACCTACCTCAAGGTGTTGATTTACTCGCTAATATGGTTCTCGAAAACTCCTCATCTAAAGAGGCAAACGGATCGTTCGACTCCGTTCCTACCTCCGACAGCGATCCTTATGCGTCTTCGGAACAAGGCAAAGGCCAAGTTGCCGGTGTTCAAACATACAAAATTGATGGCAGTAAGATACCTCAACCGCTACCGCTATTCGGTCCTCTGTTCGGCTTCAATGATGCCCTTTTAACCAAGATCATCAATGCACGTATTCAAAACTCGAGTAAAATCACCAATCGACCACTCAGACAAGAGGAAATCGATGCCCTTGCATTTCATACTGCGAAGATAATTAGGATCAATTCATTTGCGCCTGTTGCAGGTTTATCCGCGGGCATCTACAGAGCAGTCCAAACGGCTCCTACCTTTCGTTTCCCATTCTACCAACCAAACCTCGAGACTTTCAATTCAAGCGTCTTTCCCCATGCGAAAATGCCGTATATCAAAGGACCTCCTGCACTGATTGCTTGGCATGCATTCAGAGGCTTATGTTATGCTTATATAGGAACGACTGTGTCAAAGTTGCTTTTTGGGGGATATGCAGCTAGTGTTGGGGCCGTGGGACAGATGGGCGATACGCGGTTGAAGGATATTGTAAAGGCTACATCAGAAGAAGTGGCCAGGCATCAGAAGAATCTACCTAGTCCTGCAGGGATCCCCAGACCCCCCATGAAGCCAGGACAAGGACAACCGCAACCCCAGACTCGAAGTACACAAGGATATGACGATGCTAGTCCGACTGGGGACGCGGAGTGGTCTGGAGAAGATAATGCACCTAGATCTGTGCAGACAGCTCCTCAGACATCCTCACAGACGAGAGGTTGGCCGCAGAGAAAACCAGTTCCTGCACAAGCCCCAGCACAAGAAGAGGAGAAACCATTTGATCTATTCGATGATGCTTCACCTACTAATGGCCAAGGAATGGACACCGAACCAACAATACCCCGGTCTTCTCAACAGACAGGCTCGGCATGGGATCGAATCCGTCGCGGCGAAAAACCGGCTCCCAATTCCACTACCGCTTCATCACAACCGCCAAAATCCGGATGGGCAACAGTCCAAAACAACAAACCTAAAGCATCGAGTGATGGCACATCGAGTGCAGATAGCTTTGCATTTTCCAAGACAGAAGAGGAGAGAAATCTGGCTCAAATGGAAGCACAGAAAGAATTCGACGCTAGGGTTGAAAAGGAAAGGAGAGGAGGAGATTTCAGCAGTGGTGGAGATCAAAAGAGATGGTAAGGGATTGAAGAATTGTATTAGTAGCATTTTGGGAGTAATTATCGTTATTGTATAAGCGTTTAGGATGCATGGAATGGAAATGGAACTGGAATCAAGAAATAATCAAATTCATGGTTTACTTGCCAGAGAAAGAATTGAGAAATTAGTGAAAGGAAATGAAATGAGGCGAATTGCATGATGAAGTATCGATCGGTGTTGAGAAATTGTGTATACCTATACTTTCCTATTCTTTTCTCTCTCAGCTTATCATATTTATGAACGTTAAGTTTACAGCACCAGGTCAGTATAACATGACAATAACGTCCATCACATCACTCTCATCCCATCCCTTAAAAGTTCTATCAAATTCACTCCAAATACCCGGATTTATATATTCAGATAATAGGTAGGTAGGTAGGTAATAGGTAAAAAGCCATCTCATCTCATTGTACAGATCAGACATATTATTTCATCTCCATCTCCATCCCCATCAACTCATTCCTCTATCTACTCTCCCCTTCCCCTTTTCTTTAACTCCCTTTTCTTTAACTAGGTACCCATATATTAAAATCCACGCATGCAAAACCATGCATTGCAATGCCAAAAAAACCCCCATCCATAAAAAAAATGTAATAAAAGAAAATGAAGTAAAATAAAACAGTTCTGTTCTTTTTCCTGTAAGATTAATTCCTTCCCTTTCCATTCCATCCTATCCTCTCGCAGACATTTTTGTAAAATTTTGTAAACAAAGCAGATTTTTCCTCCTGGTGCCAAGTTTTCGTGTGTGTTCGTTACTTCTTTGCTTCGTTCTTTTGTTTTTTGTTTCTTTTATACCGATTGTGATTTTGATTGCTTTTTTGATCTCGGTGAACGAAGTGCCTCCCGCATCCATCCATCCATCTATCTATCCAGATAGACAGACTGAAAAGACGAAGTGAAACCCCAATATGAGAACTCCAAACGTATAGTCATCCATTACAACTCATCCACGTCCTCCTCACAACCCATACTAATCCCCGAATCTCTCCTCAACCCTCGCAATCTCTCCTCTTCCTTCTCCCTCTCCTCCACCTTCTTGTCACAATACCCTAACGTTACATCTCCCCAAATGCCCACGCCCTTATACCTCGCCAACTCCCCATCCCAGCCGCGAATCTGTTTCGCCATCGCTTCCGCATCCGCGATATTCAGATCGACTAGTCTCTCCATGTACGTGCGTACGGTGAACAGCACGGCGTTGGATTTTGGGAGACGGGTAAAGGTTTGTCGTTCGCGACGGATGTAGATGTCTGAGGGAGTGAGTGGGGAAGAGGGGGAGGGAGGGGCTTCGGGAATGTCTTGGAAGAGAATGGGGGTGGCTTGGATGAAGAGGTTGGAGCGTTCCATGCAGGTGCGGGGAGTGAGGTGGGTGAAGTATCTGGGGGGTGGTTAGTATGTTGGTTTTGTATATTATATTCTGGGGATTTGGAAAGATGGGGGATGTGGAGAGGGAAGTGGAAAACTTACCGATTGACACTCTTTCCTAACTTTTCTTTCCAGCCTGGGACGGGTTTATGTAGTACGGCCATGCTGCTCCCGATTCTCTCTTGCAATTTCCAGCCTGCGGGAAAGAGCGTGGCGGACGCCATTAGTTTCCATTCTCCGTCTTCTTCGGATGGATCTTGTAACAACAGATTGAAATCTTCCATGCAGAGACGAGCTGCTGTCTCGAGTGGGTTTTTACATTTCGATCCAATGATAGATTGCTCTCCTGTTAACTTGTTGAGGATTGTGCTGTCATCCACGAGGGAGAAATCATTTGGATATCGATCGAGGAGAAACTCAATGACCATTTCGAGGAGTTCGTATGTGGCTGGGATGGCTGGGGGTAAGACTTGTAAAACGCATGGTCCATGTGTTTCGAGGAGTGAAGCGCGGAGTTCATGCTCGGGGAGATAGGTGGAGTCGATGGTGAGCCAATTGGATTTGTCGAGACGTTTGAGACCCATTGAGGTTGGATGGGGAGAGGTGGGCTTGAGCGGTGGGAGAACATAGGCTGGTTTCTGAGGACCGGGTTGGGTTTTGGGTGGAGTGGGAAGAGAGGTAGACGGTGTGGACGATTTGGATGAGCTACATGATAGTAGATGGGTAATTTGGGTGAGAGGGTTATGGAGGAACTTTGTAATGTTTGATGGTGAGTTTGTAGAAGGAGAAGTTCTCTTATGACTTCCATTATGTGGACGTTGTATATGAGTCTTTCGTTGAGAGCTGAGAATATATAGAATGCATGCCGTAGCAAAGAAGATGAGAGACTCCACAACCAACATATTGCTTCCGTTCTGTGTTCCGAAGGCTAACGATGACGATAAAGATTTGAAGTCCGGGTATGGTATACTATCTCTTGAAGATGAAGCCGAAGATAAATTGAAAGAGGAAGTATGAGACTGTGTTCCCTCTGAAACCATTGGAAAGTCTGTATTTATATTCCCCACAGCACCTTCCTCCTTCTTTGCATGCACCAAAGAGATTCCAGAAATCCCCAACGATGGTCCAGACCGACTCATCGAAGTCCGGGCAGGCATTCCCGATAATCCATGCGCAAGTGGCGTTTGCACCTGCATATCCGGAGGATATTTGATTGATAGATCTGACAAGGTGCCGATTCCGAGCCGTTGCATATGTATGTACTGTAGACACTTAAAAAGCAAAGATCTTGTTATTTTTTGGAATAGGGAAAAGTAAATATATAGCAGGGAAGGGAGGACAGGCAGAAATATATCAAAAAACTTGGTCGAATAGATCAAAAGATGAATAAAATCTCTTCCCTGCTACCTAAGGGAAGGGATTGGTTTGTATGGTAAAACGTAGGTAGGTTGTATTGCTACGTATATGTGAACGTGTGTAAGTAAGAGAATGGGAAGATGAGTGATGAATAATATTGAGATAAAGATGTTGTGAAAGTCGTGTAGATGTTTGTATGGACTGGTGTGACTTCAGGCTGCAAAATCTGCAACAAAAGTAGGACGACAGATAGATTCAAGGAACAAGACAGGAGAGATGGATGGAACGTTGAAAAAGAAATAAAAAATACAGAGTACAAATGGTGATAAGTGGTAGGAATCAGTCCCAGCTACATGGGGTTGGGAAGGCTCTTTAATATCATAGAACCAATCCGGTCATGTCATATCAATTATGCCATTATGGAGTATTGGAGAAACAGAGAGAGAGTTAGAATTTGCCTGGGCTCAAGGACTCAAGGACTCAAGGGCTCAAGCTCAGCCATGACTGTTCATCAATCCATCTTTCTTGGGTAATGAGAATAAGAAGCTACAACCTAGATGCATGGCCGTGGCTGTGATTAATTGCATCTTGATTCTTGATAGATCGGTTTATTCATGGTCCACTCGGTCCGGGTCATAGCTATTGCGTGTATAGTATTAGAATTACGAGGGTGGACATGGGGAATCATCAAACCGGAATCCCTTGATTAGAAGTGTGGGAAAGGCTAGGAATGATGAGCAAAAAGTTTGACATGAAAATGATCCAAGTCGATCTTTATTTATTCAAGACAGGTATGACCTTGACACATATTGTGATATTGTGGCAACTCGGCTTATAGTACGACACGCGGTAGCCGTGTAACGTAAGTGGAAAGGGGGGCAAGGTCATCCGAGAACTCACACCTGAGCCGAAATGGGTAATGGGTGGAAAGTTTATCGGAGTCGGATGGATAGAATAGCTCGAGTGAGGTAAGTGCAACAGATGGCTCGTATGTACGGGATGCATATGGGGAGAGAGAAATGTCAAGGCAGGCACGACAGGCTCACAAGCAAGATTGGACGGTTAGATTCTCAACATCCAGTCGTTTGAATGTGTTTAGTGATCTTGGTGATCATTCAGATGGTCATGGATCATGAAATGAAAGCCGGTAAGGTGGGAGGTGTGTGTGTGTGTACTTTGCAGTGGGCTCGATGGTTTTCTATCGGAATATGTAGCTTTGGCCTTCCGAGTGGATAATTTGCACTCACAACAGGACCAGGACCGTGGCAGACTGGCAGACTGGCAGACTGGCAGGTAATGAAATATATGGGGAAACTTGGTGGGTGTTAAGCTTAGCTGGTATACCTAGTTACTAGTATCTCTAGTTATTCTTAGAAGTAGATTCTACCTCCTTGGTACTATGATAGAGAAAGTAGTGGTAGTAATAGTAGCAATAGTGGAGTTGGAAAGTTTGAAGTTGGAAATACGAACCACTCAAATCATGCTCGTACAATCCACACGAATTAGAGCCCTCTGGTGTCGTGTGCGTTTTATTCTGTGTACGATATGGCTATCACGTATCACCTCTCATAACAACAGCCACCACAACATCACAACATGGAAAAGTTGATATGGCCGACTAACCTTACCCGTGAGCTCATTAGTGAGGATTTCGTACAGAAAGTAAAGGTAAGGTACGTGATGAAATTTAATATATTCAAGGGACAATTCGTATCACGATTGGTTCACATAACATCGGAAATCGGAGAGATCTTGGAGAATCTTTCTTGGATGCTGGGACGCTATTGGAAGTTGGGGCTGAGTTTTACTCCCAAGCCATACCAGGATCTATTTTTTGAAGTTGACCGCGAAGACCGCGGGGGAATAATTATTGTGAAGAACCAATGGAATGCTCTTGTGGTGAATGATGAATAATGGATCTACATATACCTGGGTGATGGATAAATTGAACTTGCGTCAAAGAGAACGACCAAAGTCACCAAAACACCAAAGCATATGAGGGAGCTTAAGGCAAAAGTTTGTTCGTTTAATGGTCGTAGGTTTCATTGGATCTATTGGATACATGGCATTCATTGAATTCATGACTCTGTGCTGTGAACCGGTGAGATATCTATCATGTATGAGAGAGATACAATATTCGCAATCTGATACGATAAGGTTCTGATCTCGCAACGAGGACTCCATCCATATACATAACGTTAATGTAAGTACTAGGCACGATGTGATATGAATTGAATATACGAGAGACTTCATTGCTTATTCCAAGTATCTAAAGTATTTGGTATTGGATTGCTATTAATATTGGTGAGATGATGGAATCTAGATGGCAAAGCGGACGGAGATGCATTCACGTATCTAGATTCCAAAAAGGTTATCTCTATCTATCAATCCACAATATGCAGCCACCGACAGCTTACCTTTACCTACCATATGAAAATCCTCCATGAATCAAGTAAAGAAGTCCCGTTTGACTCAAAGCCATTAACAACTTTACAACGTCTACATGCAGTGAAACCAAAAGCAAAACAAAAGACAAAAACGTTTTTCAAAGCCTTCTCATCACTCGTATCACATTGTACACATAGGCAAAAAAAACAAAATGTCTCAATCGCAACATCAAAAATATGCTTCCCTCAAATTATTCTTCGCGGCAACAGCGGAAAATCATGAAACTTGGACAATTTCTGCGGTTGAACTCTTCCAACCTTCTTTTCATTCTAAAAGTTATCATGTCTAACCTAACCTTTCCATCTCTCGACTCTAATCTCGAAACGGATATCGCGCGCTTTTCCAAAATTCCACACAAAGGCCATGGCGCATTTGGCGTGAGGTACGACTTTCCATACCAAATGATCTTGGCGATGCTGGCTTTATTGGCAATTTCTGGTGGAGGGGTGCTCTCCGGACGTTTTCATTCCTGGATCGTTACACCACAGCTGTGTGAAATACCACCTACACAGCTGCTCTGTACACTGACTGCACTCAGTGCACTGGCAATAAATACATATCTGCATGACAAAATCCACGGTACGCTGATCCGGGCCCAGGAAATCGTTTCGTTTTCCAAGGGTGGAGATTTGGGGGGAGGGGGACTCCTTGTCCGCGTTGACCCATTCAGGGTTGGGATAATGTCATGATCGTCCATTTGCCAATTGCAGCTCCGGCAATTACTACGTCTGGCCTTCACATCACGTAGTCCGGTAAGCATGCTTCGTGCGCAGAAACCTGGATATACTGGATACGGTACTCCGTTTATCGTGTACACAGCGCGATTCTCCACAATCAGCCAAATTCAGACGTCTCGGATACCTGGTAGACAGCCCCGGCAGACAGAGGTGCATAAAAGTCAATGCGGTTTCATGCAAGAAATTTCATGGTTGGTGGGTGAGTGAGCGAGGGAGGGAATGCCGGTTGGTTGGATCCTGTCATGATGCTGGTGCGAATCACATCCAGTGCGCTGTGATGCGTAAATGCTTGCAATGGAATGCAAACGGGTGGACATATGGTTCGATAGTTGCACAGGTTCTAGATGAATATCCTAGTATGTGGATTTTGGGGAATAAGGAATAGTGACGTTTGATATCAAGGGAAGGGTGCGAGGGAATCTAGATCTTGATTGTGATGTTGAATTTGGGAGGGAGAATGAGGGGGTGAGGTTTTGGGTGTGCTCCGGCGGTGGGTATGATGTTGTAAAGATGAGAATTTGTTACTTCATACTCCTGTTTTAGAATGAGAATTCGCGTTTGTAACGTTTACTGTGCGTTTGTGGATAGTTGCATATGTCATTTAACGGTTGAGCCGGTATTGGCTCCTCGTGCTCTTCTGAGCGTAATATGCATATCGACTTACCACACACAACAACAAGGTGGAGTGGAGTATGGTATATGTGTTTACAATCTACGGTCTGCGGAACTCGTCGCCGACACCCTCTACCAATAAACAAGGCTTAGAAAATCCCGAACATGGTCAACATCGCCACGATAACCACGATGATGACGCTGAGTAACCTAGAACAACATCAAAAAAATCCCGACAAGTCAACCTTTCCTTACACAAACAAAATACTCCGGAAATAACATAACAAGGCGAATATTTACGTGGATGCCGCCGGAGCCACATTTTCGATTTGTACTGCTGGCTCAGGCTGCGTTTGACCAAAGTTCAAATCACGGGCTATCATATTTCGCACCGAAGTTTGAAGCCACCATGGCCATCCTCGAATTGTACCTATTATGCTCATGTCCTTAGGTAAGATGATTTGGCCACTTCTCCCCGCCAATACTTGATCAACAACAGCATTAGAAATGGTTTCGGGTTGGAGATATGGATCTTTGAAGCTGGCTTGCGAGATAATATCCTCGGCCAATGGCGTCCGAACCCATCCTGGATTGACAACACTATTTCCTTTGTGAGTATGATATGCTGGTGGTAATTTCGGGTGGATGGAAAGTTGAGGACTTACGTGGTTCGAACATTAGGTGCGTTGTATAGAGCTTTCAACTCTGATGCAAGTCCTTCATGAAACGCGAGAGCACTGGCTTTCGAACAGGAATAATCTACATTGGCAGCGTGCACCAAGTAGCTTGCTAAAGAGGCGATTGTCACTACGTGACCATGATCATTCTTGATCATCGCCGGGACAAATTCTCTGGCCATAAAGAAATGGGATATTGTATTAACGTCAAATGTCTTTCGGGTTTGTGCTTCACTACCTTCTAAAATGGGCATGAGAGTGCCAGTCCCGGCATTATTAATGAGCACGGTAGGATCTCCATGAATTTTCCTTATTTCGGAAGCTGCAGAGGCAATTTGTGATGGTGATGTTATATCAACTCGATAGTAGAAGACATTTGATGCTTTAATTCTGTTAGTCACCGTTGTATATCATGTGTTTCCGGAGGTAGTAAAACTCACGAAATGGCATCTTTGGAAGGTTCACATCCATTACCACAACCTTAACCCCTTTAGATGAGAACTCTCTTGCCATTGATTCTCCTATTCCACTAGAACCACCTGTAATCAAGACAACTTCTTGACTCTTGATAAACTTCGCATTACTTTTCCAATTATTCAACACAAGCTGAGATAACTTATTATTGACACCGCGTACAATACCCAAAGCGAGAAGGACCTTCAATGCTCGAATGAAGGCGGTAGAGTAAATGTATGGCTGGATTTTGGTCGGTATAATAGATCGCAATTTATCTGGGTAGTACTGAAGTGCTACAAGCAAAAGACCTGTGAGTTTGGGGTCAAAAGGGGCACCTAAAATTGCTGACATTCTGGGTTTCCCAGCGATTTTCAAAATAGACAGTAATTATGAAGGAGCAGATGAATAAGTAGGTATAGCTGGATGGGAAATCAAATATAAATATGATACAACAAATATAGTGGCTCGAAGTTTCAACTAGAGTATCTTGAGAGTATTCTAATTCAATATCGACGACTTCATAGAGATACCGAGGTTTATTAAATTGGCGGTGGACGAGACACATACATGTGTTAAGGAATGTGGAGCGTGCGGATAATTGAGAAGCGCGTCGATCTCCGGTAGATATACCTAGATTTACCTTCCTGGCAGTTTACAGTAGATCATATACCAAATACAAATTCAGTGAACTCATGAGTATGGGTAGAAAACTCTTGGTGACGCAAATTTGGCATGGCAAGCACCAATTCAATCTCACCACCCATGGAATTGTGAAGCTGAG